GGGATGCGCCGTGTGCTTCACATCCCTTCATATTGGTGGACTCATTTGAAAGATAAAATATCCGTTGGAAAACGTGCGAATTTCGGATTCTTCAACCTTGTCGTATAAATCACTGAGGTAGTTAGAATTACTACGCGGACCCCTTTGAACCACGAAAATTTTATGTGAGCGGAATAACATTGTTATTGGAAATCCTATGGCCAAGCTTGCACAGCATCGATCACTCCTTGATGTTTGTGTTTTATGGAGTCCTTCAACAGTGATGATCCTACTGCATCGATCCAGCCCGATCCCTTCTTTCCAACGGGCCAAATACGACCCCTCCCCCTACCGACCTGTCAAGGATTCCTCAACGGAAGTTTGACCTTGTGCCAGAGCTTAAACACTGGGCGCGCAGTCACGCGTTGACCCTACCTGTTCATTCTTACATAGCTCATTGCTTGACAGCGGTTTGCTTCAGCTAATCATCCTTGAAAGAGGATTCCACGCTAAGGTCGGAAGTCGAAGAAAGGGAAATACTCCTGGTCAAAAGTAAGGCGGATCGGTGCTCCTCTCGCGGCGAGGCTAGCAGGGCCAGAGCTGTGACACTTCACGCTCTCCTCTTGCCGTCTGACTTTAGCCGTTTAACGGATAGAGCGTTCGCGTTAAAGGGGACAATGATCCATGAGAGTCGCCCCACACGGATCAAGGGACATTGAAGATTTTCTATTTGTTGGGTTCGGGGCCGTTTCCCATGGTTTCATCTCCATCGCTGCACCACTGACCGCCCTTACCCGGTCCTCTAAAGGGCTCTTTCGTCGTAGCCTCCGTCATTAAGTTGCTGCGGAAAATTTGAAGTTAGAGTGTAAGAAAATGTGGAAGGTTGAGTTAGCTATTTGCAGGGTCCTTCAGTCGAAATGGTCCCATTAAATGGCGACACGACATCAATGTCGCGCGGTCCATAATTCGCTTGCCCAGTGATTTTCATCTCAGGCTGGATGGAGGCTTGTCAATAATCCGCTCACATTTGTAATGTTTAAGTTCATTCACCTGTTTGACTGTTTTCTCTCAATAATATGTAAAGTGTATTTTCATTTCATACAGGGTCCTTGCTGCGCACATGCATCGTGCACAGGTCCTATCCCTCTGCATCTCGTAGGTATTTTTCGTTTTCTCCGATGTAACTCATTTCCCACCGTTTGCCCGGTGTGCCCTCGTCATAAGAGCAAATGACTCGTTTTCTATGAGAAAGGTCATAGAATAAGACATGTCGACCAAACTTGATTGTGTAACCTGCAGTTGTGACCTAAGCATTTGAAAGCTTTGGAGCCAGCGATTGGTGAGAGTAAGCAGTATTTTAATCTTTAGTGACCAAGCCATTTCCTTCACACATCTGTTATGCTGGCAGCGACTGTGGGAAAGTTTCGTTGAGGTCTTTCTTCGTGTATTCATGTAATCATTTTAGCCTATATTACCAATGCCGAGGTGCTGCATGCAGATGGGATTACTCACCCCAGAGTTTTTCTCTACACATAGCGGGATAAAAAAATAGTCGTTTTAATTTAATTATGCTTCCTCTCCCGTTGTATTTCACCACTTTCGATACCGTGTTTTTGGCATGCGAACTTGTACAGGTACGGCTACTTGATGCCGCAACATCGATCTATCTTCTTCTATTTAGAAAGAGATTATTTTTTCGTCGTCTCAGTTGTAAACAGTTACTTGCAATAAACTTCATCTCTGCTGTTTTCGAATAGGTTTTTACAATGTCATGGGTCGATTTTAAACGGGTGCTTGTGCATCAATCGGTTGGATATGCAGTTGAGAGGCACGTTCCAGCTGCACATTCCTGGGTGTACGAAGTGACTCCAAGAGGATGCCCATCGATACTGTACTTACATCCATTACTTCCAGGATGTATAAGAGCACAAACAGTCAGCAAGGAGAAGTCGAATGCTGCAACGAAGTATTATAAAATAACATTTATTGATAGAGCCCATTCAAAATGAGGGGAATAAAGTTTCCGACTAAGTCTTATCATCTCTGATTAAAGGCACATCTCGCGATCAATTAGTGCGCTCGGGGAAGCAACAAAAATTTCCAAAGGGAGCCCTTAACAAGATCCTCCCTTTAATAGTGAGGCAGATTCCGATAGAAGGGCCAGAAACTGCGGTGCGAGGGGAGAGTCTAGGCGAGAGACCGGAACTGACGAGAAAGTGGTTTCAAAGATAGTGTGAAGGCGTGGCATAGCTGTAACCACTCGTTAAGGTAAACAAAACCCTGACGCTATTGCGAGGATACAACCAACTACTCCATTCACGAAAGGGTTTCTCTAACAACTCAATACCGGTCGGTGCCCAGGGTGAATAACGGTCATCCCCGATCATGGCCCTGTATTATGTGAGAATAGTGTCGAGAGTAAATGTACGCGCAGAAAGGACAGACGGCTCGCGCGAGGCGAGAGTGAATGTTCGCGCGGGAGAGCGTGAGTGAACAGGCAAAATCTTGGCGAGTCTTCGACCGATTTTCACCGTACAGTGCGTACCAAAAGTATGTGGACACCCTGGAATCGATTCTCAGGGGTCAGCTAAAGGCTTTTATGTTATGAAACCTTCCACCATTCAACTCCTAGTGGTCGATAACCTACAATGATATTTTCGGCAAAAGATTTCGTTCTAACTTAGCGAACTATTTTTGATGGAAATTTTTTTCTTCATATAAAAGGCATGTGGACACCCTGAGATAGATGAAGTTTCTGAGCCAATTCCTTAAACTATTTTTTTACTTTACCTTTCGTTACTTATTTTGCCATCATTCCTCTTCACGGCAAGCATTTTTCTAAAGAAGGCCAAGCACAGGTATGAGATCCCTCATGATGCTGAACCTTCCAATTGCAAGGATGCACTGCCAACCTAGTCGTGCGTCCTTACACTTCAAAAAAAAAAAGAGATCCAGAATCCTGATGCTAGTCTCTCGATAACGACTGAAAGTCGTCCATATTCAAAACAACACAAGAATAGCTCGTGATGTGTGAAAATTTTCTTAATCTGCTATTTACGCTCGCGTTCAAATGACCTTCAGGCCTTAAAAATGACTATTTAGCGTTCCACTCGATCGCATGAAAGCATAATACAACAGAAAATGAAGAAGAACTTCGTGTATGGAGGCCTAGCACAACTTGGTAAGGTTGGAATTTCTACTCAAGAACTGTACCACAACGTGGGACGTCGAACCCGGACAGGCCGAGTTTTCGTGGAAAAGGTAAGTCCAGAACAAAAGGCTTTCTGCGGAAATTCTCTCTTTAACCATCTCGACTGCGGTAAGGAGCTCATCTTTGGATATTTGGGGTGCGGGACTTTTGGCTCGTCCGGACTGGCACGCGGCAAGTTGCGCGGCGGCACGCGCGGCGATCTGGACGAGACAAGGCTTCGCGGGTGCTTCGGGTAGAATTCAACACGTCAAACCGTGTGCAGATTGCGGATAAACTCCGCATGGTTCTGCTGTTTGAAAATGTTTCCGCTCGCGGAGATTTGAAGCAGCAGTATCGGTGAGGTTTCAGCGCAAGGATATGAGTGAGGACCTTCATGGAAATGTCACTACTACCATCAAAGCAAACAAGAGTCAATAAATTTGGGTGTTTTTGTTGAGGTATTTAATGTCAACTATATATGTTCTGCTGATCGAGGCGTTCATGTCCCAAGGAGAAACATTCGAAACGAAGTCCCAGCAGAGAGGAGGAACGCCAGAGAGAACACAAATTACCCCAGAATCCCTTCTCCTCCCTAAGGCTCGGTTCCAAACACAGTAATTGGCTCACTCCCCTCCCCCCAAATGGAACATGCCCTTGAATTGCAGAACCTTGCAGATTTTATCCGCAATCTTCACACGCTTTGACGTGTTGAGTTCCTGCGAAGCGTCCGGATCGCCGCGCCGCTCGCCGCGCAATTTGCCGCGTGCCAGACCGGACGAGCCAAAAGTCCGTCGCCCGGATATTTGGGTGGGTCTCGTTCTATGGAGAGACCTTGGTCGTGACCCGCAGATGTACTCGACGAGCCAATTCAGAGAAGGTTCATCACATAGTCTGGGGTGGTGTTCAAAGAATAGAATGGGAGTTTGGCTTGCCAACATGTCAGTAAACAACCAAGACTGTGATGAGGTGCTTGAGTCCTGGCTACATTATTTTTCGAGAAATCATCATCAATTGTTTGCCGGCCCGAGACGAGGTCCCTAACACGTATTCCATTTGCAAAAATACTAAACGCAACGGCTTTGATTGGCAAGGTCGGCTAGCGTATTCCTCAGACTTCATCCTTATTGAAAACGTAGAGGTATCGTGGTTCGCGGTCTCTACGTCATTGAACGAAAGGAGTAATATCACAAGTGACCTAACACGTTGGTGAAATTGGCTGGTAACAAGGTAGGTAGGGAGAGATTGTTCTGAACATACCAGGAAGAATGCCTTAACTCCCTAGAAGCTTTGGTGTGCCTGAAGGTTTTAGATTCTGAAGATGTTGCCGTTTCGTAAAAAGTGTCCACATGCTTTTGATACAGAGGTACAGTGATAAAAGATTTTTACTTTAATTAAAAAAATTAAAGCTACATGTAAATTGGTAAGAAATGAGAAATAAGGTTTTCGCATACGAGAATTTGAATGGTGGCAACTGTATAGTGCAAAAGTTAACAGTTCTTAGGGAGAATGAAAAATTTTAGTGTGTGCACATAAATGCACACTTACTGACTACTCACTTACTTACTATTACACTTAAATAACTGCGGAGACCATAAGGTGACTCTTAGTGGCTCACTGATGTCTGGAACTTTGTTCTTATCGTTCTCTAAACCCACCACCAACTTATGGACAAGGACCGTTGAGCCAAGACCCACACAAAAATCGCCGCACCATTTTGCCGCGCGCGACGCTGCCCGCCGCGTGAGCGGCGTGACCTCATTAGCCGACGATTGAATTGACCGTCTCCCTACTTTTAGTACGCACTGTCTCTATGTCTGTAGAACACCCCTCATTTGTTTGAAGGAAGCTTATACCTAAGCATAGTCCTTAGACACTGTACGGTTCTAGTGGTCTGAATCGGGAGACATGAACCCTGCCATTTTGAATAATAGAGCGTTCAGAGCATTTATTCTCTAGCCGTGATGCGCAGCGATTTTCCTCTGTATCATGTTCTGGACCGAAATTGTATGATCTTTACGAAAAATGCTTGCTAACCTGGCGAGGTGCCAATGAGGAAACCACCTTCTTGCTTGAGTTCGTTTTCCCAAGTGTGTTGGAAATGTGCCAGTAAGGTTCTGAAATCATCAAAGAAAGCCTCACAAAATTTGATAGGAAAAATCTGAAAAATTATGTTATAAACATATGTATTCCAAGTGGCAAGTGAAGTTCGTTTCTACGACTGTTGTGTTTGTGTGGCGCAGCAGCGTCAGGGATTGGGAAGGAGAAGGGCCAAATGAAAAATGTCAAACCACCTCTTCATTCAACACATTCGCGACCGCGCCGGTTTGCGCATTAGCAGGAGAGTCAGGAGATTTTTCTTCAATAAAATTTGAGTGGATGGAGATTCCCCGTGCCCAAGGCTGGCATAGATGAATGAGGGTATGAAGATTCTTTTTCAGGAAAGAAAACTTTCCAAATTCCATTTGAAACACGGCAGCCACCGGTGGATACCATTGTACAAGTGAGATCTTTGTCAGCCACCGGTGGCTGCCATTGTCACGAATGGGTTAAAGCGACTTGATCGCACGTTGGCTAAACTTAAACGAAGTGCTCCTAACGAACATTGAAGAGGCACACGTAACATCGTATGATGTTTTTATAAATTGGCTTTCTGCACAGAGGATGATAGTGTTAAGAAAAATTTGCCTCGGGAACATGGTGCACGGTTCGAGCTCAACGAAGCCCTTGACGGGTCGTAGACAATTACGACATTATCTGAAATGTTGGTCGGAAAGGGGTTTCGTACTGTCAAAGCTGTTGCCTCTAGTAAGCTATCCACCACTGAACTAAATGGAGAAATCACGTAGTAGCTTCAGGCTGTAGTAATTACGGCAGGCTTCCTTAACCTCAACGATAGGTGTAGGTGACGTCATATTTTGAAAAGGGCAGCGACGAAGGGCCAGCTTCTTTTAATGGGGGGACATCCAAAAATATTTTGCCGTTGAGCCTCCATCAACGACGTTGACTTTATTTTCAACGTGGTTGTTTCAATAGAAACACATCTTGCGAAGTAGAAGAATAGGTTCATACTCACTTCTATTATTCTTTTTTATTTACATGTTTACGTGATGAAAAGAGAACGAAGAGAACAGATATTTTGGCAAGGAATTGAAAACCTTGGCCAGGTCAAAAAAATTGACCATTAATGTGAGCCACGTCGTTTTTGAGTATAATAATGTATTTCGATATCCGAAGATGGGGTGATGTCTCACCGGAAGTGTCGTGCACTTGATAGAAGCTGTGTGGATAAGCTGCTTCCAACATACATCGCTGGATATCAGCAAAGCATGCTGGCAACAGCTATTCCGCACTTCTATCAAGTGCACGCCATTTCCACCCCAACTTTCGGATAATGGCTGTATGGCCTAAAAATGAGCACAAAAATAATTGGGAAGAAGTCGGGCATGTGCGGAAAAAATTAGTTACAAAACGCTGAAGCACATGCGCGTCAGCCTATACTGAACGTGTTAAAAATTTTGTAGGAGCTTCAAACTGGAGCAATTATGAGGCCTATGGCAGATGAGGTCATATACTAAAGACGGTGAGGGCTGTGAAAGAGGGCTCAATCTATTAATGGAGGGGCATTTTGTGCGAATTATTCTTCTGCAGATAAGTTCCGTAACTGAGCGAAAATGTCTGGCACGAAAAAAAATCGTGAGCTGCGACATGTTTGTAAGTCTTTTTTGCCCCCCCCCCTCCTCCGTACGTTGTGTTACATGTAATATTGCATGTAGCAGTATGTAACACCCAGTTTAATTCGTGATTACGCTACATTCAATAATTATACAGCCACCTAGAATTTGTTCGAAAAGTCAAAAGTTTTTAAAAATATGAAAATGTAACAAATTTCATGGCGAGTTCAGATATCAACACAAAAATCCATGTCGAAAACACTAAAAAATTTTGTGCTTATTTTTTCAGAAGAGGTCGATTTTCCTATGTTCAAAAATGATACAGCCACCCCGTGTTTCTTCGTTGAAATTCATTTTTGCTTCATGAAAATGATTCGCAGTTATCAGGCTTTCACCTTAATGTTCCCACAAGAGAAAAAAAAAGGACAGTTGCACTTTTTTCACGAGGGTAAACGTTTTCACTCACCTTTTTCAAGAGGGTAAACTGAAGCAAAAAAGAAACATGAATCGTCAAGCAGACAGATTGCGCGAGAATTGAGTCAGAGCTCCAATACGGTAAATAATTTCTTCTGGAATCTTCTGGAGTATGGGTTATTGGTTATGGGTTATGGACCGAAGAAGAGATCTGGATGCTAATCTTTTGGCCAAGTTGGACTCAAGAAACATTTCAATTTCATCGAACAGTGCCCAGAATTTCTTTCAAATTTAAACTTTCAATGGATATTGTTTGGGATGTGTTGAAGATTTTCCGAGGTCATTCTTCAATGGAGAATTAAAGAAACCTTGTTTGTGAAAAGAAATTCTCTCGAAAACTGAGACATTTTTTGCTCGAAAGTGTAGCCACGTCCACTGGAGCAAGATCAGTTCTTTTGTCTGTTGTCTTACTTTCTGTTTACTTTCTTTCGAGTTTTTCCTTCCTCATTAAGGGTTTTTCCTTTCATTAGACTCCTATGAAGCGAAAAACATTGAGAGAAACGCAGACAGAAAGTAAGGCATAACGAACAGAAAAAAGAACTGATCTTGCTCCAGTGGACGTGGCTACACTTTCGAGCAAAAAATGTCTCAGTTTTCGAGAGAATTTCTTTTCACAAACAAGGTTTCTTTAATTCTCCATTGAAGAATGACCTCGGAAATCTTCAACACATCCCAAACAATATCCATTGAAAGTTTAATTTGAAAGAAGACTGGAATTCCGGGCACTGTTCGATGAAATTGAAATGTTTCCCCAAAATGCGAAGTTTAACTTGACCAAAAAGCAATGAACATCCAGAGCTCTTCTTGTTCCATAACCTACAGGATTCCAGAAAAGATTGTTAACCGTATTGGAGCTTTGACTCAATTTTCGCGCAATATGACTGCTTGACGATTCCTGTTCCTTTTTTGCTACAGTTTACCCTTTTTCAAAGTCCAACTGCCTTTTTTTCTCTTGTGGGAACATTGAGAAGAATGCTGGCTGTATCATTATTGAACGCATGTATTTCTTATCGGAAGCATGTTTCTTGTTTCGCTTGCTCGCAAGACCACGGGGGTGCCTACAGAAGATAGGCTGTGAAGGAAAACGCTACCTCTTCGTAGGAATTTATGTTTTGGAAGTGATGGGTCTTTCGAAATAGTGAATTCAATTATGGTTGGTTCTTTGTTAATTCACCAGTATCGGAAAATTTGTACAAACTCACAACGACGTACGAGAAGTACCCATGATAGGTGATGTTTCCCGCTTTCTGGAGCAGGTAGTATCTAGCCCAATCATGCTGCCCATCAACTGTGGTTCCTTTCCATTCTCCGACGAACACATGTTCCCATCCTATAGAAATGAACACAAACGTTTAGATTCAGTTCTGAGATCGGAGCGCGCTTTCCCACAATCGAGATCCACGATAGGCCGACGTCATAGTTTGCGAATCGCTGGATCCGCGAGCGTTGCGCCAGCGAATCGA